AATAATGGATATTTGAAAATAGCAGCAACATCAGAGATGTGCAAAATGACAGCAGCAGGTTATTTAACTGACTAAGGTTTCTATCATTACATTTGATTTGATTTGTTCCTGCTCCCGCTGGTTGGAACCTTTATTCCACTCTGGATTCTTGTGAGTGTAGTCTTTGTTCACTTTAACTTTTAAAAAAATAAATAAACAAACAGTTTTGAAAACCTCGGTATTCATTCTTTTCCTGCTTTGTGTGTCAACTTTCACGGTTGCTAAGCAACAGAGCATATGGCGGTAAAACCCGCCGAAGGGAGGACCTGTTCGAATTTACAGACAGAACTCTTCCGGCCTCCTTATTTTCAAGGACTTCGAAGGATCCAGTCTAGGTAGACCGCGTCCTTGGAAGATGCAGCCCAGGTTTTCGAACAGAGCCTCTGATTACTCAGGGATTACGTCACACGGAGCGTCGTGCGCAATGAAATCAGGACATTTCCTCACTTTCTAAAAAAAACCCGGGACGCCCGGGACAGGACGTGAAATACGGATATGTCCCGGGAAATACGGACGTTTGGTCACCCTAGGTCATGGCCTTAGCCTTTATGTTGATAAATTATTATTACATTTATTGTGTGTCAAGATATTATGAAGGAAGTTTTGTCACTTTGTTGCCTTGAAAATCTTACATTTGTTGAAAGCATTTACACAGTGAGGTCTCTATGTTAAATCTGTTCAATTAGTGGAAAAGCATAATTTGTGTTCTGTGGCGACCGCTGTAACACCTGTAGGCCAAGCCCTGCTGTTCTTAAAACCTAGTGACATCTGACCTCTGGGCTGTACATGCAAAAAAAAAACAATAAAGAAACAACAGAAAGTACATGGCAGAAGAATAACATGAATAATTCAAGAGAATAAGATGAGTAATTGAAATAATAAAATAATTATAAAAACGAATAATGAAACTAAGGGAATGTTGATCTGAAAACTTTAATGTTCAGATAGTGAAGCAAAAGGCCGCTATAAACAAATAAATTTAGTAAACTATCAGCTGCTAAGGGTTTCAGCACTTTTATAAATACATTTTTCAAGGTTTTCCAGAAACATTATTCTCTTAATCCTGGAAAGGTTCTTTACTTAATAAAAGGTTTGGTTACCGTCTTAATGTTCCTCTGACAGCTCGATTCGGCTTGAGTTGATCACAACACCAAGATATCAAGCCTGATTATTTTCTAGCTGTAGACTAAAGCTTTGTGCTAACATTGAAATGCTCTTTATTTGGTTTAAAAGTCATTAGTTCAGTTCAGTTTTGATTTAGCTGATAAAAATGCATTCACATCCCCCCATTGATTACTATTTTGCATTGACTCAGGGCTTGACCGAGTTCATAGTAACCGGGTAATATTGTAATATAAATTTTATATTACAATATACAATAAATTATTGTATATGTGTATGTATTTATCATCTGCATAGTTATAATAACTTACGTTTATTATATTCAGAGGGGGAGATTGTAGATATTGAATAAGTACGTTTCAAAGATGGACCCTTGGGAACAACACATGTGATTTTTTTTTTGTCTCTGATGTAAACACCTTCTGGCACAAAAACGTCTCGGTCCTTCAAGCAAGCTTTAATCCTGAAAGGCCGACCAGTTTGCCAGGCACTCTAATAAAGTGTTTATTGCAGCACTAAGGTCCAATTTTATCAGCAATGTGGTTCCTCCACAGTCTATATTTGCACCGATGTTATTGAAAACTTTGCCAAGGGCAGTTTTTGTAGGTGACTGTGGTGAGCCGGAAAGCCCGAGTGAAAGACACTGAAGTGGCTGGTTTATTGTTAAAAAGGAGTTTAACTGCTGGCGATGGTAGAGTGCTACAGTTACAGGAGGTACCTGCCCACCCCGGCTAAAAAGGCATTAGTTTTCAGAAAACGCAGCAGACAGACCCAGTATCCAAGGTGAGACAGAAAGTGGGAAAGTTCAAAACGTTTATTAACACAAGACAAACAGAAGCACTGAGCTGTGGACCGCAGTGGCTCGAGGGGGGAGCACTCTGGTGGGGAAAAATACAGGTGACTGACCACATCTCTGACGGGACATGATTATCCATGTGACTGTGACTCAGTTACCTGGTTTAACAGTTCAGTCCATCTTCTCCTAGAAAGGCAGGATCCAGCCAATGGACTGCCAAATGAGCTGCAGTGCAGAGCCGCCCAGAGTGTCCCTGATGCTGCAACCTCAGTGAACAGGCAGGAATCCAATGCAGGTCAGAAAAAACAGATCAGACAGGACAGTTCTGGAATCCTGGAGTCCGCAGCCTGGTCAGGGGTTCCGATTCACACAGGAACAGACAGATCCAGGGTTCCAAGAATCCACAGAGGGTGAAGGCAGGTTCAGAGGTCCATGAGTCCAGCAGCAAGCTCAGACAAACATGCCAAGATGCTGACAGGCAGGCTCAGCAGTTGAATGACAGAGACACAACATGGTACCATTACAACTGTGAAACTTTAAACGGGTCTCCACCTAGGAGCAAGGACAACTACTGCTGGTTAGTTTTCTTCTGTTTTTAATCAAAATGAACCATTCCAGAGGCAATGGGAAGTAACACTGAGGAACTCAGCAACTGGTTTTATTCTACCAGTAAAGCAGCCTTGGATTTGGTTGCACCACTAAAAATTAGACTTCCAAAATCCAAGCGTGAACTGGTTAAATGAGGTCACTCGGGCTGCCAGGAGAGACTGCCGCAGAGCAGAACGCAAATGGAGAAAGGACAAATTACAGGTGTCTCTCCAAATACTAAAGTAATGTTCGCGCCGTTATCAAAGGATTGCTAAAGGCAGCCAAAGAAAATACCTGTTGGGTTTGATTGTATCAAATAGTCATAATCCTGCTATCCTATTCAAAATTTTTAACTCTGTTCTAAATGATTCACATAGTGGCTTTATGGAGACCTCACCTGCTGCATGTGAAAACTTCTGACACTTTTTTGATGAGAAAGTTGCTTCTATTAGGGCCCAGATTATCCCTCTTCTTATGATCCTTCAGTTGTGGTGCCTTGTTCTGGTGTTTTCCACAGCTTTGAATGTGTGAGCTTGCAATCATTGCAGGAGGTCGTTAGTCACTTATTTAAAGAAGTTTTCTCTACTATAGGTCCTTCTGTCCTTGCTCTTGTAAATAGCAGCTTGTCCTCAGGCGTTGTTCCTAAAACTCTGAAACATGCAGTTCTGCAGTCTCTACTTAAGAAACCAGTTTTGGATCCTACTGTTCTGGCAAATTATCGACCTATCCCTAAATTGCCTTTTATTTATACTTGAGAAGGTAGTCTGTAATCAGCTAATGGCTTATCTTAAAGAACATAATATATTAGAGGTTTTTCAGTCTGGTTTTAAACCATTTCATAGCACAGAGTCAGCCCTTTTAAAAGTTTTTAATGATATACTTTTAGCAACTGATTCAGGCGACGTTGTTGTTTTGGTGCTGTTGGATTTATCATCTGCTTTTGATACAGTTGATGATGTCATTTTACTTTCCCGTCTGGAACAGTGGGCGGGCATCGGTCACAGCTCTAGATTGGTTAGATCATATTTGGCTGAACGTACTTTTTGTGTCTGTCTTGATGACCATAGGTCCCCCTCTGTTCCACTGTCGTGTGGTGTCCCACAGGGCTCAGTTCTAGGCCCGCTCCTTTTCTTACTTTACCTTCTTCCTCTCGGCTCAATTTTTTTTTTAAATGGGATTGCCTTTCACTGCTATGCAGATGACACACAGACATATTTAACGCTAAAGAAAGTAAACTCCACGTCTCGTTGGTCTCTGTTTTTATGTCTTGAAGATGTGAAGGCCTGGGTGGCCCTAAATTTTTTGAAACTCAATGAAGACAAGACAGAGGTAATGATCTTTGGCAGATCCATTGCTGATTCCGTGACCAGTCTTGGCTCCTTGGCTCAGTACGTTAAGCCGGTTATTACTGATTTAGGGGTTAAGATGGATGCTGGTCTTAAGATGGAAGTGTACATCAGAGCCGTTATAAAGTCCAGCTTTTTCCACTTAAGGCAGCTTGCCAAAGTAAAACCCATTCTTTCAAAACAACATTTTGAAACAGTGATCCATGCATTTGTGACCACACGGCTGGATTACTGCAACTCAATTTATACAGGGGTCAGTGATTTGTATATTTCCCAACTTCAAAGGGTTCAAAATGCTGCTGCACGTCTTTTAACAGGTACACGAAAATCCGACCACATTTCCTGTTTTAGCTTCCTTACACTGGCTGCCAGTACATTTTAGGATTGATTTTAAAATTCTTTTATTTGTTTTTAAAACTCCTAATGGCCTTGCCCCTTCTTATCTGTCTGAGCTGTTACATTCTTACACACCTTCCCGTTCCCTCAGGTCAGCTGATCAGTTGCTTCTGAGGGTCCCAAAGACTAAATGCAAGCTCAGAGGGGACCATGCTTTTTCTGTGGCAGCGCCTAAGCTATGGAACGATCTGCCTCTGAGCATAACACAGGCCTCTTCTCTTGCTATTTTTAAGTCCCTTCTTAAGACTCATCTTTTTTCCTTGGCTTTTGGCACAATTTGAGAGGTTTTACTTTGTTTTATTCTGTTTGTATACTAATATGTATTTTACACTCGTTTTTTTCTATTTTATAATTTTATTGTATTTTATGATTGTGTACAGGACTTTGGTTCTGTCCGGTGTATAAAGTGTTTCATAAATAAAGCTGGTATGGTATGGTATGGTAACCTCCTGCAGATAACAGAGTGTCAGATTTGATGCCGCAAGGCTGAGGGTGAGATCTGAGGGTGAGATCTGAGGGTAAGATCTGGTGGAAGGGCTTTTAAATTGAATAAAAGGATTTCACATTTGACAGATCTTTTCACCTCTTTTACTGTTGTCTTGCTCCTGGAACCAGCAATCCTTTAATATTTGACATAAACCCTTATGTTTTCCATCCTTGCTCAGTCCTAAAATGTTCACAGTATCAATGTTGTTTTTGGTCTCTTTGTTCAGGATGATTCCAGCAAATCACAAGTATTTCTTGCTCAGTGACCTAGCATCATCACGGGATTATGAGCTGTGTGTTCTGGCTGTTTACGATGATGGCATCACCACCCTGACGGGGACTAAGCTGGTGGGCTGTGTGTCCTTCGTCACAGACTCAGAGTACGGACGCTGCCACTCTATACGAGATCAGGTGGGTGGTTTCATCCATATACTGAGTTTGTTTTACTGGTCCCAAAGATCCCTGATTATTGAGCCATCTATTTGATCTTTCACTAGTAAATGTCATATTTGCCTTGGACAAGGAGCTGAAACAGTTTGCTTTTCATTTGGATCTGCAGTAAAGCTAAACTTCCTCTAGATAACATCAGTCGTTTTTCAAATCTTGCTGTTTTTTAGGTCTTTTTCCTTAAGCACATTATTTTACTCCAGCTTTTATGACAGACTTTGTGACTCATTTGAGTTTTAAAGACTTTAATAATAATAATGATATAAAAATTAAATCATAGTCACATTTTTATGCAAAGGTAATTCTGCCCCTTCTACATTAAACCCTTAAAGAAAATGCAATGCGACCAATTTAAAAACCAGAGCCCTCCAGGACTGTTTAATTTAATCAAAGTTTAATTATCAGGAAGATTCAGATAATGTCTCAGAGTCAGAAACTATGATTATAGGGAATTAGGAATTAATGTTTGGTATGTCTTACCGCTGAAGTTCGGTTACTGACCTTAGAGGTCACCAGACTCCAGTCTTCCATCAAGTGAGTCCAGTCTTAACATCATGACCTGATGAGATGAAGGGAGTCCGGTGTTTCCCCTGCTTGGTTGGAATGAAAACCAGCAGCCACATGGCCCTTTCTGGAACCAGATTGACTCTCCTGTTCTAGAATATTCTCCATGCAAAAGGAGTAAGATGAAAAAGTTTAACAAAAAAAATTGCCAACGGACTTTAAAAGCTGATAGAAAGAAATCACCAGAACGTCAGCTTGGCCTGCAGCCAGGACAAGGTATTTTTTTTTAGTTCTGACTCAGGAGGGCTGGATTCAAATTCATGCCACATTTTTCAAATTAGATTTTACAAAATAATGTATTTGTTAAAGGGGAAAACCAAATTTTTTTTTACATTGGCCCCTTGATTTTACATTATGTTATACTCACCCATATTAGTTTTGTGTCATTTGGAGCTGCTCCGAAAATATACATCATACACACTCCATTTTGTTTTAAAAGATATAAATATAAAATATAAATATAAAAAATATAGCCGCGGATGCCTGGGGAACAGTTATTCGTCTACATTTTATGAATGCTGGCGTACCATAAAAAATAAATTATGAACAGTTTAGTTTGTGCCTTCAACTCTTTACCCATAGGAAGACGTTACTTGGATAGAACCTAACTGAACAGCTCCAAATGACACAAAACTAATATGGGTGAGTAAAAGATGATATAATAACGTTAAATCAAGGGACCAATGTAAAAAAAAAAAAAAAAAACGGTGTTCCCCTTTAAGTTTACTTGATTTCTTTTTCTATTTCTCTCTGTGGATGATTAAAAGTCCCAATAAATCCACACTCAGCAGACCACCAGAATCTCTCTGCCTGTCCTCTGCCTCAGCCAGCTGCTGCTTCTGGCAGATCCAACCTCTCAATGTAGTGGTGCTGACTTAAGAGAGATCGAATCTAGCTTTATTAGAACCGCTCTCCATGCCTAAAAGTTTTACAGTTGAGATTTCTTGGTAAAGATGTTCAGGTTATTTTAGTCTGGCCTCCTTTGAGCCAAAGTGAAACACAAATGTTGCTGTTTCTCTGCCCTTCTGTCTAACTGTTGGTTTTTCTTCAAACATTTTCCCCAGTTCTTGGGCGGCACCATGATCATTATCATCGGTGGGATCATTGTGGCCTCTGTGCTCGTCTTCATCTTCATCCTCCTCATGAAGTACAAGCTCCACAGTAACCACTACAAGCAGAAAGCTGCAACGCGCCAAGCCAACGTCTGTTCGCAGACCAATGGTGGTGGAGGAGGAGGTGGAGCAAACATCCTAGCTCTGCCTCCATCCTCCTCAGCAGGGCAAGGTGAGCAAACTGCTATTGCTGGAATCGGATGAATGAATCTCTCCAGGAATCTGGATCTGAATTTGTTCTTATGCTTTCCAGGCACTAATAAAAACTGTCAGCCATCCTCATCAGTAGATGGAGCAGCTTCTCTCAGAGGGACCACTGTGGTGGACTTGAACCCTGCTCATAATGATGACACCATCTCCCAATAACACAGAAGGAACTGTTGATCCCCCTCCTCCCCCCAATAAACACACCCAGCAAACTCCAGAACCAACACCTCCCCATGCCACTCCCAACTCTTCTTTTTTTTTCCTTTCTCTTTTTGCTCGTGCCTGGAGTCCAACTGGACTTTCCTTCGGGGAGCAACTCTAGTCATTGGTGAGTCATCCGTGAAACCAGGAAAACACATCAGTACACAGGAATCCGCAGCCTCTGTAAATTTTAAGAAAGTTTCTAAAATATTATAGCATCTTAACTTGTGTGAAGGTTTTCTTTTGAATATCAAAATAAAGAATGAAATGCTTTTAAAGTTGGTGCAAAGACAATAATAACCATGCCGGTGCAACTTCTCAGTCACTCTAGTCTGGGAAATTCAGTCTTTCCACATTAAGATGGGTCAAAGTTAATTTTGCTTCATATAGAAAGGATTTAGTTCACAGATGTTATGGATGCCAAGCAGCTTGGGTTTATCCAGGTTGAAGACCAAGGCTCGAAACATGGCTGTATCCAAACATCCGCCCTAACTCTATCACCTCCATCATTATATAGAGCTGGGACTACATAGTGGACTTTATAATGAACTCAATTAACTGATCGTTCAGACAGATGATCAATACTTTTTGCTTCCCAGTGGTCATGAGACTCCAGCTCCCCGCAATGTGCCTTCATTGTTCTCTCTCACTGCGAAAACAAATCTTCGCTCTCTTTACAAAGCATTCTGGTATTCATATCTGAGTCCACTACTTTTTCATTCATTAGACACTAGAAAATCATATGAAATGGTGTAACCCCTATGTAGTGCTCTATGGAGGGGTTAGGACGGATGTTCGGACACAGCCTTGAATAAAATGCTGCAATGGGATCTGAAACTAGAGGATGGAAAGGTTTGGGTGGACATCAGCTGAGATGTAGCTGTGTGAAGGTACCACTCATTTAGAGGGATCTGAATATCTGGGTTACCTTTACCATTAGGTCTGTTTCAGGAGGTTATTTCAGCTGCATGAACTGAACTTTCTCCCTAAAGGACTTGCTGTAGTACATCAAGGGGGAAGATTGTTTGTCTGCTGGAAGTCAACATTTTGAGGTCAATAACAGAAATGATTAGCAAAACAGTAATGCCCAATAGAGAGAATATAAACATGCAAGCATCTGAACCTTCAGTAAAGGTATATATATATATATATATATATATATATATATATATATATATATATATATATATATATATATATATATATATATATATATACATATATATACAACCTGCTTGCATCTGATCCGATGGATCGTGCTCTGGTCCATTTTCCTATTTTTCAGTCATACTGGCTGCATAGATGGTCCTGCTATGGATTATTGGACTTCAGAGTTACTTACATGTAATGGACATTTCCCAGCATAAAAGAGTCAGACATTAAACATAAAGCAGCAGTTGATGTTCAAACAAGCTTAAAAAGTATCTATTTTATAGGTCCACAGTAAAGGTTGTGCTCTATTTCCTGACAAACCTCTATAAGGACAAACATAGCCAGTTTGCCTTGTGATTCAGAGATTTTATTTTTCCCAGCAGAGCTGTGTTTTACTTTGCTACAGCGTCTCTTTCTTTCTGGATCATTACTTTCAAGTTAAATTTGTTCCATAGTTCCAAAGGAACAAGGGCTCTAAGTTGATCCCACACACAGCTGCAAAGAATCACAAACAGTCGGCTGGCCCTGCTCCTATCAGCCAGATGTAATTGCTATAACTTCATACCATCTTAAATTCACTCGGATTGGAGGCGTAATTGGTTTGTCTTAGTTTTGATCTGTGAGGTACCTGGAGCAGCACTTACTTTATGTTAGAGCACTGAAGCAGGAAGTGATAAGAGCAGCCATTTAAACAGTCCTCTTAGGACTAGGAAAGGTCAACAGAGAACTTTTATTAATATTTTTTACCTTGATACCTTAACAATAAAAAGTACATGGAAGGAAACCCTGATCTGTAAAACACAATTTTTTTGAGGTTTTGAGAGTAATTGCAACTGGATCTGTATGCTCCATTTATTTACATAATTTGGTTGTCCCAAAGACTAGTATTTATTTATTTGGTATATTGGTTTTTAAACCTAAGACTTTTCCAACAAGTACTGGGTTCTGAAATAAAATTAGAACAACTTTCTGGTTGTGATAGTTTTTGTTTTTCCAACTGCAGGAAACACAAAGCAAATTTGCAGCATCTTTAATTGATGAGGTAACAACATTTGCAGAAACAAACTGAAACACTGAACTACAATTGAAATGTTTTTGTTTTTTTTATAGTTTAAAATGATAAAAACTTTAGAGCAAACTGGTTCCAGAAATGGCCGTGTGGCTGTAAGTTTTCTTTCCAACCAAGCAACTCCATTCATCTCATCAAGTCATCATGTTCAGTTTGCACTTAGTTGATAAGATGACTGGAGTCTGGTGTGCGGTTGCTGGGTTGGAAAGAAAACCTGCAGCCACACAACCCTTTCTGGAACCAGTTTGACACACCTGCTTTAGAGCATTGCATCAAAGAAAATGTTTGGAATATTAAACAGCACTCATCCCCCCCAGATTCCACATTCTCCATAACCGCTCCGTTCTGCCTTTCATAGTCATATTAATCAATGAGAACGATTCCACATCCACCGTGACTCCTCCGAACGTATGTGTTCTCCATCCTTCTCTGTCAAAATATGTAGCAACGCTATTCTTTCGCTGCGATCCAGTCCGTTGGATCTGTTGTGTCAAAGTAAAATAGGGTAAAAACTGATTGGTAACTACAAATTATACCATAAGTATATATTCACAAAAACAAGACTGTTTAATTAATTATTGGATGCAAACGACTACTTGAACATACAGGAAAGCCAATTTGTCATCACGATCAAAATATATTTATCTTATACCGAAAGGCTTGAATGTTTCATCAAATCCAGTCGCAAGAACTTGTGAGAGAACATCTCACAATCCAAGAGCAACTTCTTATCGCAGACATGGACAAAGTGATGCTGATTTAGGAAGTAGAAGACAAACACATTTTTTTATGATCCCAGGCATCCTTGTTAAAGACACAACGAAAAGAAAAGGTTTGGGCAGAAACTGCACGTATGCTGGATGCTGATGGTGAGTTTTACTTATGCCACATTGAACTGAGCATTCTTTACCTCCTATTGTGCTATAAAATAACAAATAATAGGCAAATTCTCTGGTGGGTGGGGTGGAGAGAAGTTGGGCGGAGCGTAGAGGAGCCGAGCAGGGTGGCGCACAGTGGGACAGAGGAGCAGAGGATGCTGTTAGGGCTCAGACAATAGGACCCAGAATTCAGGCAGACACAACAGGTTTGATTAAAAGTGAAATGCTTTATTGACTGCTCTGGATTTTGTGGCTTGTCAGCTGGGACCAGCTTGCCTGATTCTCTGTAGAGGTAGGTACTCAGGTTAGTGACCTATAGAGTCAAATGGGGAACAATAACAAACATGTGAGTAACTAACCTGGTTCTTAGTCATGTCCGTGTCCAGAGGAAGGAATGACAACTAGTCAGATTACCTCTCCACAGCTTGCGGTGGAAGCCATCCAGAGAGTTCCAGGATTCAGGCAGAGCAGACTGATAAGCGGATGCCAGCAGACGCAGAAGAGCAGAAGAGTCCAGGGCCAGAATCCAGAGCAGGGGACGAAGCAGATGTTCAGACTAGAAAATCAGAGGTACCAAGGGAATATTCAACCTTGTATCTGTCAGGGGACAGATACAAGGTTTTAAACAGGCAGAGTCCAAACAGTAGTCCGAAAACACAAGAAACAGGCCAGAACAGACCAGCAAGGGCAAGCCAAAACTCAGGAATCCAGATGTCGACAAGGTCAGGATCAGCTAGTCAAAGCATTATAGGGTACGCTAGAAAACTCTTCCACTCCGTTCGAATAATCTGGCACTGATAGCTGAAAACATGCAGCATAAATAGAAGCTAGAACAGGTGAATCAGATGGGGGCAGATGAAAACTTGGCAGAGCCAAGCAGATGGAAGGAATGAACTAATAATCCAGTCATTAGTGCCAAGATCAAGAAAGATGTGGCATTTCGGGGTTGGTGGTTTACCAAGTCAGCTTGAAGAATTGGACTAAATGTCCCTCCCCTCTGCAAACACTTTCCACAGGAGCCTTTCCAGATGAATACTGTGTAGAATTCAGGCTGAACTTCACGTATCAATATGCCAAGTTAACAGTCAGCAGTCGTTTTCTGCAAAGAGTGTTGGAGAAAGATGCTGTAGAACCTGCAGGGGTTCTTACTCAGTGAACAAATTCAGGAGTCAATTCAGTTTATTTCCAATATATTTAAAACCACTCTTTATACTATAAGCACCTCAAAGTGCTTGAAGAATTCACAGGAATGACCCCATAATGTGTTGCTTTTTTAACATGTTCTTAGAAACCTCAATACTCTCTGCAGCCATCAAGAACTTTAGATGACCCTTCAACAGAAATGGGCCATAAAAGTTGAATTTCCTCTCAAATTTGTTACAAGCACGCTTGGTGTGAGCGATTGCCTTTGAGTCAATGAGTTCGGGGACACCAGGGTCCCTAAAGGTTCAGAAGTTAAAGGTATTGTTGAGTATTTTCTCAAATTTTTTAAAAGACCCACCCTCTCCACTTTAAAAAAAAATGTGCATGCGAGAGCATGCATGAGCCCATTTGTCCTCGTGCACACTCTGTTTAAAAGTTGCTGTCCTCATAGCTCATACTTACTGTGCTCGATTGTCCACCCTAAATAACTATATAGAGCGGGGACTTTATAGTGAACTCAGTCAACTTACCGTTCAGACAGATGATCAGTTCCCCGTTGGTCCACTGTGCGGAGCCTGCGACTTCTTTGTTATTAGCAGCCAGGGGTAGCAGCGGCCTCTGGCAACAGTGGGCCTCTGTGACAGCAAATCCCATATTGCTTTGTCAGTATAGCTCCCCGTGCAAAGCCTTGTGGGATATATCTGCTTCTTGTGAGGCCTTTCTTTTCTTCTCATACACTTCGTATGAGAAGAAACACTCTTACGACCCTCAGGCATTTAAAAAAAAAACTGAGGTGAAGAAAGGTGAGCTGAGGTGAATGACTGTCTGAAACCGTAGCTTACCACAGATATGTCCCTGAAAGACAGCCTTACATAAGCATATCCC